ATCAATCATGTGTGAGGACATGAAGGCGGGTTTGCTGTCTGAGGCGTGTAATTTGGGTTGGTGTCTATCACCAGGCAGACGAGTCAAGTTCCGAGGGCCTGGATCAAGACTTCCTGAACTGATTCATTTCCTCGTTCGCCTTCAGTGTTGAGCAGATTTAGGTGAGGTGCTCTGGACAGCAGGAGTAGAGCCCAAAGCCTCAGAAAATCACTGAGCTGGTTTTCAGATTAAAGCCATGACGGGAGAGGCCCCCCGAGCGGGCTGCGCGCCCCGGGAGGATTAGCTCGCATCTGCAGGGCAGCGGCTCACGCGTGCGAAGTGGCGTGGGCCCCCGCGTGCCAGTCGCTCAGGGACGGATGGGCGCCTGCCCCGCCACATACGCACTTGCCAGCTCCCTGGGAAGCAGATTCTTTCCTGGAACTCAAAGCCTATCTTGCATCTTGCCTGGAACCCCGTGAAATTCTTGGCGGCATCTGCCCCGGCTGCGTGCCCCCCCCACACCCTTGAAGTATCACATTTATTTGATATTGGGATTGATATTCCTCTTTTTACATTGTGGTTGGGACTCATTAACTCTCAGTAAGGACCAATGTGGAAGGCGGAGTTTCCTCCTCTTCTAGAAAAAAAAAAAAAATGTTTCTTTGGACGGGCCACAGCTCCTGTAACTGATTTGGTCTGCTGGCATGGCACAGCATGTTGTGTGGTACCCTGAGGCTGGTGAGAAAGGGGACAGACTCAAGAATTCCTGGGTGGAAGGCTCTACCCTGTATTTACCACAATTACTAAAACACCACATTTAATAGCCCAAGACTGGTCTGTATTTGCATGGAAACCGCATATATGTGGAATTCTATTTTATTTTTTTAACTTCAAGATGGCCATAATAGGAGTCAGACTGTTGATGAGTCTAGCAATTAGAAGCAGCTTCTAAATTTCCCAACACAGTCATCTTGGGTTCAATTCTGAGATCTTGTTCTAAAAGTTCAAACTGTGTGGTGTTTATCTAGCAACCTCACTAAAGCACTCACATTGGCTGGTGCCAGACATGTGCATTCGGTTTGCCATTGCCCAGTTCAAGGACGGCTCTATAATCAGTCCTGGAATTTAAATCAAGCAGTCTGGAAGGGTGTTGGAAAGTTTTGTTTTAATAACTGGTTGTATTTATGTCCATAATATCACTATTAAATTGGCAAGTAGGAGGCAGCCTTCGGTGTGGGCGAGCCTGTATAGTCACCACCCCTGGATGATCTGTGTGCTTCGAAACAGGGAGTATAAAGAGGGTTCTTGGCTTCAGGAATTTGGCTCAATGGTTCTAACCATCTGAGCCATGTCCACCATTGCACCTGCTTCTTCTGGAGCCAGACGTACACATTATCACCATCATTCATTCAATAGTACTGAAATGACATCAGTCTACAAAATCTGTCTTTTTCCTTTCTTTCTCTGCCACAAAGCAGAATCTCCAGGAGCTTGTGGGGATGGGTTGAGGGATTGAAAACTACATTCTCAAGTCACTGCTTGAGACATTTTTTTATTTTTTCAAGTGACTCTGGTGACGAAAGTAGTATAGTCACAGGGCAAGCAAACATCTAGACTGAAAACAATTGGATGGTAAGGATCTCTGCTTTAACCCACTACATGAGAGGTGACTGCTCCTCGTTTATGAAGCAATTACCCACTCGGAGTGTGGGACTGGAGAGGCTCCTCCAGTGCAGCTGGTGGTGCTCACAAAAGAACCACTGCCTTTGAGAGAGAAAAACTCGGGCACCAGTGATGAACTCATTGCTTCTGTGTGTATCTTACACAAGCAACAAGATCCTAAAGTCAATATCAACACATGGCTAACACTCCCACTGTATCCAATTTGTTTTTCAAACTCTTTGCACAGCAAGGGCAGAGCAGTCTAGACTGAGGGTTGGAAAACGACAGCCCATGAACTGGCCACCTGCTTTTGTCAATAAAGTTTTACTGACACCAGCCACGCTCATTTGTTTATGTCCTGTTGATGGCTGTTTTCGTGCTACAACGGGAGAGCTGAGTGGTTGCGAGACAGCGTATGGCCAGAAAAACTCCCAAATATTTACTCTCTGTGTTGCTACAGGAAGAGCTCACAGACCCCTGGTCTAGACAGTCAGTTGAGCCAAGTGTTGGCTAAAGGTCCCCAACTCACAATGCCAAGAGAAGGACTGGATTGGCTTTTGTTGTTGTCACGCAGTGCATAATTTAAAAAATCTTTACAAGCTGGTACAAGCAAAACTCCTATTCACCTTACTTTGGAGAAGCAATATGGAAAGTAAAATTAGGTCTGACTATATTTTATACGTTACCTAACTGTATTTTATATGTTACCTACACTTCTAAAGCATTTCTGGGTTGCCCAACTGTGTGCATAAGTCAATGTCATTTCTTACAACTTTTAAAAGATACAAATGTTGGCGACCACTAAGTACTGGCATTATGCTTGTCTCTGTGCAAAATTCTACAGTGTGCAAAACCACGTGCTGTAGCTATAAATACAGTCCCAATTCAAGTCAAACTCTTCTGTCTAATTATTTTCCAAATATTTGAAACCAGTCGTAAGGGTCACCAGAAATCTGTAGTTTAAGACACCAGACACATTTCTTAGTCGAGCCTTCCAACGCTGACATGCTGGACCAATTCAGTGAAGCATGCCATAAATTATATGACTATGTTATTTGAATTAATGGGACACTTTCTACAATGGCAGGAATTGTTACCAGGAGTTCAAAAGCCAGACATGGGCTCTAGGTTATTCATACTTCAGTGATAGATTTGAATCTCACCTTTGTGGCCAGGTTTGATTGGTCTGGTCAGGAGTGCAGGCCATGACAAAGAACAAAAATTAAAGACCTTAAAGCAGCTGAGACTACAGTTTCAATAGCCCTGAGTTAAACAACCAAACAAATGCAAGACAACTGGCTGGAACAGTATTGGACTGGCGTGTGATCTGAAGGTTTTGAAATGTCATTAAGGATGGGGCTTATTATTTGATGTTGCTTACAATGAAGGCTAGCTCTTTTCTTCTCATTTCAATATTAGGAGATCATAAATAATAACAGATATGATTATGGACTCTACTTGCAAATGTGTCTTAGGAGACCTGCGTCTATGGCAGCAGAAGGGCCATTCAGGTCAGGGTACAGGAGGACCTGGACTGGACTCAGGCTGGATCACCTAGCTGTGTGCTATGTCTGCAGACTGAAAATGGCTGAAGTCCAGTTCTCTAATCGTTAACAGTTCTTTTACCTAGAAGGATTTTATTCTAAAACTTGAAGTAATGACTTGAGGAAAAGATAGAATGTTCGTGAAAATATCACTAAAAATTTAAATATGATTTTTGAGACTTAATGTTGAAAGTTAAAACATTAAAAACCCACTTGATGAATTATAAGATCTAAACAAATAAAGGCATAGGATATGAAGTTTCTCTTCAGTTTCAAGTATAATAGGATCATATGCTGAAGAAAACATCAGTGCTCTACACTCTTACTTAAAAAAATTGATACTGATTGATTTTTTGGTACTAATTCTTAAGTTTTGCCTTTCTTAAGCTTAAAAAGTTCACCAGCCAAGGTCTTCTGGTTTTGGTATACCCCATCATCAAATGGGGTATAAACTGGATCTTGAATCTGTCATACAGAGTGAAGTAAGTCAGAAAAAGAAAAAGAAGTATTATGTATTAACACATATATGTGGAATCTAGAAAATGGTACAGATGAACCTATTTCCAGGGTAGGAATAAAGGTGCAGATGCAGACAACAGACATATGGACACGGGGCAGGATGGAGGGGAAGAGAAAAGTGGGCTGAATCGGGAGGTTAGGATTGACATATACACACTATACCATGTGTAAAACGGATAGCTAGTGGGAACCTGCTATGAAGCACAGGAAGCTCAGCTTGGTGCCCCGTGATGACCCAGGGGGGTGGGATGGGAGGGCAGGAGTGAGGCTCAGGAGGGAGGGGCTATATGTATACATACAGTCGAAAAAGAATCCGCCTGCAATGCAGGAGACCCTGGTTCAATTCCTGGGTCAGGAAGATCCACTGCAGAAGGGATAGGCTACCCACCCCAGTATTCTTGGGCTTCCCTTGTGGCTCAGCTGGTAAAGAATCTGCCTGCAATGTGGGAGACCTGGGTTCGATCCCTGGGTTGGGAAGATCCCCTGGAGAAGGGAAAGGCCACCCACTCCAGTATTCTGGCCTGGAGCATTCTATGGACTGTATAGTCCATGGGGGTCGCAGAGAGTTGGACACAACTGAGCGACTTTCACTTTCATAGCTAATTCACTTCACTGTACGCAGAAACTAACACAGTACTGTATAGCAATTATACTCCAATAAAAAAAGGAAAGATGAAAGTGAAGGAGTGACATAAGTGTAGTCAAAACACAGATGCTTAATTATGAAAAAAAAAAAACACCTTTACTTTTCAAAGGATAAATACGATAGGGCTCATTTTCAGAAAAGATGATTTACCACTCTCATTTGGGAACAGAAAAGTGAAATCTTTATGGGAAGCTTCCTAAAAGATGTCTAAGGAAAAATGAATGCTTTCAAACCTTTGGTTTAGGGAGGAGGTTGTGGGACTAAAGTGTCTCTTTAAAGCAAAGCAACTGACCTTGCAAGCTGTATGGGAAAAGCAACCTACGCATTCTGCAGCCAAATCGTGAATGCACATTTTTGTGTGACATTTCTGCCTGGGCAGCCAGGCTGTAATTAAGATCTAGCCAGTTAGATGATCACCAGGGAGAGAGGTCCAGGGTGCGGGGAACACTTCAAATTACATTCCATGAAAACCTTAGACTGTCAAAGCTTAGGAAGGCCCTGATCATCCATGGACATGGAGGTGGGGGTCAAGGACTGAAAGGAAGGCGAGCACATGTCAGCATAAAATAGCTGCTGACATAAATTGAACATGTGCAATATTTTAAAAAGCGGTATTGAATCACAGGCCCACAGCCATCCCTCTCGGCGTCTCAGACCCCTTTCTTCTCTCCATTCGGGCTCTTTATGGAGTCACTTCCATCAGGCAGAGTTCCATAGGATAAGCCGCTTGAATCTGGTTGTATCTTATCCAACATTTGTTTCCCTGTGGAGATAATAATCACAAAGAATCTTTTGAGCTCTTGTAGAATAATAAGTCTTAATAATTTCTCCTCTATCTAGGCCACATTTTATTCCTTTTTTAAAAAGGACAATGTGGTCGCCCTCTAAATAGAAGAGAGATACGTCAGGGAAGAAAGGCCCAGGTCGTGGCTGTCTGCGTGAGCACACCCCGAGGAGCATGTGCTGTCCCCCTGACTATGCTGGGGACAGAAATCAGGCTGGATCAGTCAGGAGACTAACATGAAGTGTGTACGCATCTCCAAACCTCTCTCCCCACTGTTCTGTCTCCTGGCCTATGTTTAGTCTAACGCATGTAACAACAGAGGAAAACAGTCTTTCAAAATGGCTTCTAAAGTTCTTACTGATTCTACATATAGAACTGAGTGAAATGAAAAAGAGTTAAAAGTACGTAAACTTCATTTCCTACCAAAGAACCCCTAATCATAGAAGGCATCTCTAAGGCACGCCCTTGCCACAAATGCTGATTCCTGCGTTGAATGTTCTTAGCTGGTAAGACGGTTCAAACGGGAAAGAGAACACAGGCTATTTTCTCTTAGGCACAAGGTTTCAGTGGTTTTTGCTTCAAAGGCTTGGTCCTAACTGCCTGGTGGAGTAAGCTGTGAGAACATCACCACTCCTCGTCTAGATGTCTATGAAAGTGAAAGTGAAGTCTCTCAGTGGTGTCCGACTCTTTGCGACCCCACGGACTGTAGCCCACCAGGCTCCTCTGTCCATGGGATTTTCCAGGCAAGGGTACTGGAGTGGGTTGCTATTTCCTCCTCCAGAGGATCTTCCTGACCCAGAGATCGAACCCGGGTCTCCCACATTGCAGGCAGACGCTTTACCATCTGAGCCACCAGGGAAGCCTTCTAGAAGCCTATAGGTCACCCCAAACCCCTAGCAAAGCCAGAGATTATTGGGGGTGGTGAGCAGGGGAGGAAGTGAGGACACAGAAGCCCGTTTCCTTTGTTCTGGACATCACTTCTGTTGGGTCTACATGAAAGTGAAAGTGTTAGTTGCTGTTTTATCTGACTCTTTGTGACATTATGGACTGTAGCCCGCCAGGCTCCTCTGTCCATGGGAATCTCCAGGCAAGAATACTGGGGTGGGTTGCCATGCCCTCCTCCAGGGGACCTTCCCAACCAAGGGATTGAACCCAGGTCTCCTGAATTGCAGCTGGATTCTTTACCATCTGAGACACCAGGGAAGCCCAAGAATACTGGAATGGGCAGCCTCTTCCTTCTCCAGGGGATCTTCCCGACCCAGGAATTGAACAGGGGTCTCCTGCATTGCAGGTGGATTGTTTACCGGCTGAGCTACCAGGGAAACCCCCCCAGAGTGGGTAGCCTTTCTCATCTCCAAGGGATCTTCCCAACCCAGATATCAAACCTGGGTCTCCTGCATTGCAGGCAGATCCTTTACCATCTGAGACACCAGGGAAGCCCCAAGACTGAATCACGGAAGTGTTATTCTCAGTGGGAGTGGAGAGCTGGGATGACGATGCATGTTAAGCCCTTTTGGATGAATGAGGTGAGGAACAGGGGAAGAAGCTCTTTATATTCAGGTGACCAAGAAGAATGTCACTCTTGGACCCAGTGCAAGTGCCACCTCATGCTTCTGAAGGGATGATATTCCGAAGCTTCTGGTCTTAGATGTAGAATCCCCCTCAAAGGTTCTCCAAGCAACAAGGGTCTGTTCCTGCCATTCCCACTCCTTTCCCTACCCTTTTCCAATTTAAGGAAATCCAAAACGGAAATTCTCACTATCACTCAAATTAAGAAAACAGGGTCGGTTCTTTTCTATCCCCAGTGTTCTGTGCAAAACTGATAATCAAATAAATAATTATTAACATTTACAGTTAAACTATCATCTCTGCTTTCATCATTAAGTGTACATTTTCTGAGGGTAAGAATTACATTTTATATTAATTTAACTCCAGAAATCATACCAGCAATAATTCATTTGTAGGATACAATTTTCTATTATAAATTAAGGAATATATATCTTACCGGGAACATTTCCAAAATCAATGTAAGACTGTGGCAGATGTTCCTTTTCTCTATTTCTTGTGACCAAAACCACACCAAGGAATGACAGAAAACACCTGTAAGAATAATGTTAATAAAGAACACAAGGTCACTGTATTAAATAACTGAACGCATGGTATTAAGTAACTGAACTCCATCTTCTACATAATGACATACATTCCATTGGTTTTGTTCTTTCTGTTTCTCATGGTAAGCTGCCTAGAAATTGTCTTAATTGCTGCAGCCAATAATATTTGTCCCCAGAACCAAGACCTGGGCAGCTTCCAGTAAGTCTCTGCCCCAGGTTTTTACCATCTGGAGGTTAATTCAGGCTCTAAACCCTTTGGGTAGACACTAAGTCTCATTTTCTATCCATGTATGCTCAGACCCATTACTGGCATGCAATACGAGCAAAAAAATAATTTATTCTTTAATTTTCTAAGAAATTTCGTTGTCCTTGGCCATAAGCATAGTCATAGTTTCCAGACCCCAGAAGTTTAACTTCGCCCAAAAATCTCACAAAATTGAATTTTCAAGATAGATAGCTTTCTATGTTAAAAATAGTCTGGGCTCAAGTTTGCATAACAATGGTCATGCAGAATACCACATCAAGACGCAACTAAGCATTCAGAGAGTTCCAGGTGGGAACCAATGGAAGAATCACTACATCGGTGATATTCTATCAAGGTTCTACTCTCTATCTGCCAAAACACCAGCAGTGATTGTCCAGCAATTTCCTAGGCAGGGTTAAAGCTGGGCACTTAGACCCAAGAGAGGGATGGCACCAATCTGATGTTAGTAGGTCTCAAGGCAGAGATCTGCCCCAGTCTTGGCCTTGCATCCTATGATCCTAGAGGCATCTGTGGTTCCCTGATTGAGATTGAAGCTAATGGTTCCTAAGGCTGGGATAGGTCTGATTGAGTATAAAAAGGTGGAGTCGCTACAAGGGCCTTTGATTTACCTTGACTTTGGCTGGAACTGAAAATCCCCAGTGTTTCAGATCTCTCACAGAGATATTTAAATCACAAAGACACTGAGCTCTGGGTAGGGTGTTAAGTTGAAAAATATGCTTCTTTTAAGAGCTCAGGAAACTGATGTTTCTTATATTATTTTCCAATTTTCCATGCCTCAGGTCCAATGCCAAAAGTCTCATGTAAAAGTAATAGCATTTCACATACCTTACCTCTGAGACATTTACTCACCCAAAAAGATATATAAATATAGTGAGAAAAGCTGCACCAAGGAACTCCTGATAAAATATGATACCTACAATAGTGACAGAAGATAAAATTAATTTTAGGGTAAGAACATTTACAATAGCTACATATTATTTTTCAAATTACAATATTATTTTTTTCAAAGTAAATAGTTACCCTTAAAATGCACATCCAGTTGTTGCTGTTGAGTTGCTAAGTCGTGTCCTACTCTTTGCGACCCCATGGACTGTAGCCCGCCAGGCTCCTCTGTCCATAGAATTCTTCCAGGCAAGAAAAGTGGAGTAGGTTGCCATTTCCTTCTCCAGAGGACTTTCCTGACCCAGGGATCAAACCCACATCTCCTACATTGGCAGGTGGGTTCTCTACCACTGAGCTACCAGGGAAGCCCTAAAAAGGCACATTCAGTATCTTACTTTAAAATAGTTGCATGCAATACTAACATTTTCAATGACTGCAAAGAACACAGATTTGTAGACTTTACATAATGTATAATGTACATATCATTATTATAAAATCGGCACCAGTAACACAGCTTTTGCCAACAGAAATTTTTCTATCCAGTCCAAGATTTGTCCCACTGGAACATGCAAGAAGAGTGACATTTCCCACCACCAGTTGTTTAAGCCGGGGGTTGGCAAGCCTGACCTGAGCGTCTGGATGGATGCTGGCCCTTTCACATAGCACTTGCACTTCAGGCCAGCTGCTCCCCACCCTGTCGGCCTTGGCATCACCCTGCGGTCTGCAGGTCTGATCACAGGCTCACGTGTGCACTGGAGGATGCTAACATGCTGCCTGAGCACCATTTCTCACTGCCAGCCCCTCTCCCATCTCCCTCTGCGGCTCTTTCCTTCTGGGTGAAGGGAAATGTGCATCTGTCCTTTATTCCAATGAGCTCTCCTTCTCTCCGTCTTAGTATCAATGATTCCCTTTTGGCCTATGGTCCCAAAGCCTTCGCAGACTTTTTCTTTTTTTAAACTAAATAAGCTACCTTTTTGGTTTTAGTTGCGGTGAGCAGGGGCTACTCTCTAGGTGCGGTGCACGGCCTCCTCATTGCAGTGGCTTCTCTTGTCGCCGAGCACAGGGTCTAGAGCATGTGGGCCCCAGCAGTTGGGGTGCCTGGGCTCAGCGCTTGCGGCACAAGGGCCTCGTTGCCCTGTGGAATCTTCCCGGACCAGGGATCGAACCTGTGTCCTCTGGATTGGCAGGTGGATTCTTAATCACTAGACCACCAGGGAAGTCCAAAAATAAGTTATCTTTTAATTATCTACCACCTGGAATCACATTTGTGTGTGTGCGTGTGTGGTGGTAGCCTTGAGATCCTGTCGACGAGAATTTACCGAGAGTCGTGAGTGCCGGCTGCTGCTGAGGTGTTGCAGGTGCCACGGAGAACAGCACGGGCCGCTTCCCCAGTCTGAGGGCTGTCTCCTCACTTCCTGTGGGAACAAGCCATGGCCCATTCTGGTGGATCTTTGTTGAGTGAATCAACATGGCTGAAGCATTTTTCCCTGTGATTACACACGTCCTTGGAGTCATTTGAATGTTCTCTTGTTATTCTAAGCTGGTGCCCCATAATATTCATTTCTCGAAGGACATTTTAAATTGCTTCAAACGCTTTTGCTTCTGTGATGTTAATAAACTTCTTTGCACATGTTTCTTCCTGGTATTTTAGTATTTTGTTGTTGTTGTTGTTGCTTAAAGAGGAATTTCTATCTTCAAGAGTAAACATTTTTCAAAAATTGTAGTAAAATACACATAACGTGGCTTCCCAGTGGTGCAGTAGTAAAGAATTCACCTGTCAATGCAGGAGATGCAAAAGACACCCACTCCAGGATTCCTGCCTGGAAAATTCCATGGACAGAGAAGCCTGGCAGGGTACAGTCCATGGAGTCGCAAAGAGTTGGACACGACTGAGCATGCAAAGCATGCATGCATACATAGCATAAAATTTACCATCCTAAACATTTTAAAGTATACAGTTCAGTTGTGTTAAGTATACAGTCATCACTCAGTATACACAGAATTTGATTGGAGGACCCCTCAGTGGATACTAAAATCTGAGGATACCCAAGTCCCTTATATAAAGTGGCATAATATTTGCATATAACTTATACACATCCTCCACAAATATTATAAATCATCTTTAGATTACTTATAACACCTAATACAATATAAATGCTATGTGAACAGTTGCCATCACTTGGCAAATTTAATTTTTGCTTTCTGGAATATCCTGGAATTTGGGGGGAAGGGGATATAGTCTATCTACTATTGGTGGTATCCATAGATGCAGAAATATGGATACAGAGGGCCAACTGTATTCCCATTGGAGTGCAGCCAATTTTTAGAACTTTTTTAACTTGTAAAACAAACTCTATACTCATTAAACAGATCCCCATTTCCACCCTCCTCCAGCCCTTGGCAATCACCACTCAACTTTCCATTTCTATAAGTTTGACTACTCTGGATACCTCATATAAGTGGAATCATACAGCATTTGTCCTTTCATGACTGGCTTGTTTCAGTTAGATAATGTTCTTCTTAAGGTTCACCCAGGCTGTAGCATGTATCAAAAGTCCCTTTTTAATGATTGACTAATATTCCTCTGTATGTATATGGCACATTTTCTGTATCCATTCATTTGTCAATTTAGGTCACTTCTGCCATTTGGCTACTGTGGATAATGCTGTTAGGAACCTAGGTGTACAAATATCTGTTTGAGTCCCTGCTTTCAATTCTTTTGGACATACACCCAGAATAGACTTGTCGGATCACATGGTGATTCTATATTTAATTTTTTGAGGAACTGTCACAGTGTTTCCCATAGTGGCTACACCATGTTATGTTTCCACTAACAGTGCACAAGGGTTCCAATTTCTTCATATGCTTGCCAGCGCTTGTTATTTTATGTTTTTGTTTTGTTTTTGCTAGTAGCCATCCTAATGGATGTGTGGTGATTTATGGTTTCCATTTGAATTTCCCTAATGATTAGGGATGTTGAGCATTTTTTCCATGTACTTGTCGGCCAGTTGGACATCTCTGAAGAAATGTCTCAAGTCCTTTGCCCATTTTTTAATTGGGTTGTTTTTTGTTTTTGAGTTGCAGGATCAAAGAGGAGAGACATTTTTTAAGGCTCTTGATAAAAACTATGAAACTCAGTTCTAGGAAGGTGTTACCCTGGTACCTGACTCCACAAGAGTGCCTGCAACACTTTAGTCATGTCAGCACTGCTTATTGCCGTAAAAAGAACAAAAGTTTTACTAATTTAGCAGACAAAATATGGTATTTCATTTTAATTTTAAGCTATACTTTTTGATGGGGCAAAGAGGAGAAGTAAGTCAAGAAGCTTCACCTCCATCCCATACTTCAGTAACATCAGATGAACTGTTATCACTCCTGGAAAGTTCTAGCTTCCCTGACTCATCGATTGTGTGTGTGCTAAGTACTCATTGGTGTGCAAAGTATTCAGATTCTGCACTGTTGATCTTCTCATAAAACTTTCCTTTCAGGGGAACTGTATGTTTTACACATCTTTAGCACAGTAATTTTAACTATTCTGCTGTATGTCATGCCTCTAACTGTTTTTGGCCTTGCTTTTTTCCCTTGTCAATAATTCTAGGGCAGAGAAATATACAGTCTTTTGTTACTTTCTTTTGTCAAAAATGCAAGAAAAAATTAGATGTCTTCAGATATAACCTTTCTCTTTAAAATTAAGGTTCAGTTTTGGGAGATGATAAGTTAATTAATTACATTTAAAAATTTCCCACTGGCAGGAACACTGTTTGCCATGAAACAATATCGATTAGGTAAAAATAATCCCTCATTACCTCCAAAATACATAAATTTTGCATGGAGAAATGAAGTCCTAATACAACCAGGTAGAAAATACATCCAATAAGCTAAAGAACTAGGGTATACCAGTATCAGACTTAGGAGCGACATACCTGAATCTACTGTATTTTTGTTTGGACCAAGTTTCAGACTTATATTTTTGTAATAGTATTGTGTCTGACATATTTAGACATTTCTATGGACATTCTTGTCCACAGAAAGAGAAGAAGCACAACAGTAGAAAAACAGAGGCCATAACTGCAAAGGTAGTGGTTCCTATTCTGGTCTGTCTGGCCTTCTGTGCAACACTGGATCACTTTAGGACCCTACTCTCTGATTCGGGCGGTGAGGGCCAGGGAGAGAAGAGTCATGGAACTGGGGATGTCGGACCCAGAAACAGGACACAGCAGGACCCTTCCGCTGCTCTGATTATCAGAAGGACTGACAGAGAAGACTCCAGAAAGCAGGACTAAGATGAGCATCTTGAATTCACAGGGAGGCTAATTTCAGCCCCAATACCAGGCAATACTTCTAATGATTAGAGCTCTCCAAATAATAAGAGTGATTCGAACTGGGACTGAGCTGCCTCCGGGGGGCAGAGAGCTCTGGGGAACATTCATGCAAAGTAGGATAACCTCTCCTAGAGGATGCTATGGGAGAAATTCAGACACTGGGGGGTGGCTAGGAGGATTTGGGCTATTTATCCCTTCTAAGCAGAGATTCTTTGATTTCCTTATTATTCTGAGTGAGACTTCATTTACGCTCGTTGTGGGGGTAGAGTCACCAGAGTGTAAAAAGCCCAAACTCACCTGCGATTATGGCACTGACGGTAAAGAAAATGTGGTTAACGGGCACCACCGTCGCTGTGTTGTAGAGTTTTGTGGCTTGATTCAGGAGCCTAGAGCAGAAGACACGTACTGAAGCTCTGTCTTTATAAGACGCTCAACCATAAGTTAACAATAACAATGAGAAATGCATGTTCTTTAGCTGCGACTACAAAGTGGAAGGAAGTGCAGTGAAAGGGCATTTCCAATCAGCAGTCACAGCTTATATGCATCTGATGTATGAGATCAGATGTCAGGTTTTACGGTCTGTTTAAACCAACAACAGTAACAATGAAAAGCAATTAATCATCTTTGGAGGCCACAGAAGTTTGAGTTGGAAGCGATTCAAGCTGCTGGACCGGTATCACACTGGGGCTGATTCATTAGGATAGACCCTAGAATCTGTTAAATATCATATCTGGGGAATGGTCGAGCTATCCCTTGACATGCCACGTGCCAAGAGAGAAGATGGAGAAGCAAAGGAATGTTTAAGGTTTCAAAAACAACGCTCAGCCCTCCAGCTGCTGAGCACATGTGGGAGCCTGGCTTCCCACTCTGGTTGCCAGCACGGTTCAGGTTCCCATGACGGCACGCTGTGGCCTTGCCAGGGACTAGACCTTTTCCGAAGCAGTGCACCAGACTGGCATCACCTGGACACTCAAAGCAGCACTAATGCTTAGGTCCTATTCTAGAGCAACTGGGAGATAAAATTTGTGGGTAGAACCCAAGTGCTCCTTTGTGTGTGTGTGTATACATGCATGCAGGAATACACACATATGTATGCATGTATATAGGCATGTAGGTATATACATACATGTAAAAACAAATCTCCTCGGGTAATAGAATTGTAATGGGCAGGCAGGGCTGAGAACCACAGGGGCACAGTTCTGCTGCGGTCACAGAGTTCTAGTGTGAAAGGTGTGGGGGCTGAAACAAGGGAGACAGGAATGTAGTTTACCTTCAGTTGTATCTGGCTTTTGAATTCATGAAGCAAGAGTTTCAAGTTAAGGATGCTAATCACTCAATTCTGAAAGCTATTGTAACGGTACTGACTAATTCAGAAGAAGGGAGATGAAGCAAAATAGCAAGATGTAAGTATTAGAAACACGCTTGATCTTATAAACAAATGAAAGAAGCAGTTTGTTTACGACACACAAAACAGTGACGGGACATTGGATTTCTCCGGTAACACACTCCTTGTAACAGGGTCCATAGTAAACCCGTAACAATTAGACTTGACTTCCAGCACCTAAGGCAGGAACCACTCTCTTCAGGCTTGGGCTCTGATTTCCCGGCTGACGCACTTGCATAGCACTTTAGAGTAAACAAAAAACCTAGCGGGTAGACTCAGGAGAATCAGGCAGCTGAAGGCAAAATCACAATGTGAAATGGAGGGGAAGTAATTGGAGCCGATGGAGGTAAGCGAAGAGAAGAGCAGAAATTAGAAATGTTCCATGTTGCCACTGTGAGGCCCCAAGAGAAACATAAAACGATCATTCTGCAATCCCATGGGTGCAAAGAAAATTCTGGCTGAAGATGCAAAGTTTTAGAGAAAGGATTTCCCTCCCAGCCAAACGTCTGGTTTTGTCTATCTCTGGGCAATTAATGAGTATGAGCTAAGAGATGAAGGTGAAGGGTTCATGTATTTTCCATATTTAGAATGAAATCCTCGATGTGGACCTGCCCCTTTGATTTATTGCTAATGACAACCTGTGTACGATGGATATTAATTACAAGCAGAAGAGCATCAGGAAAGTATCAAAGTGCACTTAGCTGGATTACGGCCACACTTTAGAACTCACAAAATGTGGAGGCAATGCTTCGCAAAAACTTATTATTGGATGTGAAGGATAAAGCCAGGCATATTGGCTGAGGATAAGCTTAGACCCCCTCACCCTCAGAAATCAGGTGCACCTAATTTTAATTATCATCTCAAGCCAATACAGATTACTGCTTAGGGAAGCACAGGAATGTTGAAAGATCAGTGAGTATGCAGGAGTTAACTTACTTGACTTGGAAAACACAAGATGCTATCATGATGATACACATGATATAGAAGATGGGATAAGTTAGTTGCATTTTATCCGTCACAGAAAAAGTGATCATGCCTGAGACGGCTTTTACGGAAATAACAGTCACCGAGGCTGAAAAAGAAAACACAAAACACAAATAAAATTCATAGTTGAGAGAGAATTACAAATAAATATCTTAAATTTATATGGTAGAGTAGTAAATACTCCTGGTATGCTTTAAGAATGAAGACTGCTGTGAGAGGTGTAGGGAGGAATGAGACGCAGGCCAAGCAGTAGCCTTATTGCTCAAGCTCTGCTGGGCTTTCCATTTGCTTAAATCAACGTGCTTCTTATCTTTGGAGCAAGATGCTTATTTTCCAGATCTCACTGTTGAAAGGATGCTGCGGAGGTTATAATTATTAGTAGATAGAAAGGAGAAAAAACAATGAGGGGAGGAGATAAGAAAAGGCAGACTGCCCATGTGACGTTAATGGGAAAATAACCACTAAACTATACTGAAAAGACTTAAAGCCAAATAGATGAGAAGACTGGAAAGTGAAAAAGCAACTCACTCAGTGAGTTTATTAAGAGTTGCACTAAAGTCTACACGTGAGCCCTTTTATTAAAGTTTCTCTTAATTTTTTAATTGGAAGATAATTTCTTTACTATGTTGTATTGTATCTACTGTAAAACAATGCTTGTTGAGCCTTTTTGTTAGTAAAGGCTTAGAAGTTTCACTAAAAATATTTTTTGATAAAGACACACAGCACAGAGCTGAGTATTCATTTCTCAGAGTCAACCAGAAGTCTAAGATTTATATAAGCAATGTCTATTTATTTTCTATGTTGAAGAGAAACCTATCTCTATGAGACCATAGGTTCCAAATATCAATAAAGAAAAAGTGACTGGATAAGGTTCTGTCAATATGATAGCAAGGAAATATTTTCTGGAAACATAGTTTTTCTGCAGGAAGAAGACAGTGTTCTCTTTTTGTCTTAGGTCCCTTGAAATTACTGTTGCATATAATTCTATAATTTAGCTGAAGCCCACAGAAAGTTGAAAAATAATTTTTACCTGATATCAAATATCTGTAAGTCAAAGGCAATGTGATGAAGAAATACTACCTTTGATCTACTTGGTCATACTATATCTGAGCTTTATTCCTTTTAGCTCTTGAAAAGCGTGTGTGTGTGTGTGTGTGTGTGTGTGTGTGTGTGTGTATACAGTGTTTAAAATAATAGGTGGTGGCCAACTAGAAAAAGCCCAATTTTCCAAAAACTACAAATATACTTTGACTTGAAGGGTACCAGGACATACTTCCAAACCAGGCATTTTCTCTCTGTTAAAAGTAATAATTAACAGAAGAGACCAGGTGATAAATTCTAAAAATAGACCATCTACCTAAACAAAGAGGCCCTTACCGCTGGGACTGTCTTCATCTTAAATGTTTTTGACCCAATCACTTTCCACATTTTCTATAGATTATGAAAATAGTCATACTTTAGTTAGTCCAGAAATTTACAATATCTATAGACATGTATGCCACTTGATGGTTTCAGTTTATAAGGTTAGCTCTTGAGGGATCTAGATTTCCTCTTAAACACTTGGCTTGAAACTAGACCATGATGTGGTGAGGGGCTAGTGGTCCAAAGAGCCACGTTTCCCAAATGGATCATTAACCGAGAAAGAGCTGAACACACTGTTCCTTCCTCTCAAAACTTCAGAACAGTAAAGGCCACCTTATTAAATCACCATCTGATGTTAAATTATACTTAAATACAAAACAAAAACAAAACTAGAATTCTTTAGTGAAACCAACTATCAGTTGCTAGAGTTAATCATTATATTTTCAAAGCATGCACCATTACCACCTGATTAATCACTGTTTATTGTAACTCTCCATGTTATTTCTAGGCTGGTGTTGAGTTCTAAATGAGAGAGGAGGTTGGCTGGGGAGCATGGTTAATGAGGATGGGTGGGAATACTGAATTATAATGCAGTATCATTCTAATGCTGTAGATATAAAAATAGAAAGTACCTACATATGCACAGCAAAAAAAAAAACAGAAGAAACTACATCAAGATACTATCAGTGGTTATCTCTAAGCACTGGGATTATGAATAAACTTTAAACTCATTTTTTCAAACTATACAAGTGTACATGCTCACTCAAAAAAAAAATTGGAAAATACAGAGAAGCCTAGAAAGAAAAATAAAAGTCACCCGCCATCTCAACAGTCATCCTCAAATAATTTTTAACATTTGAGACTTATAGTTATTTTTCTATTGCTAAGCACAAATATATCATAACATGTGAATCATACAATATACATTACTTAGGAAACTGTTTTCCATTGCCAGTAAGTATTTTCTACGCCAGTAAGTATTCTTCTAAAACATGATTTTTATTGGCTGGAGAGTAGGCCTTTGTACAAATGTATACTTTATTTTGGTAATTCCATGTTCTTGGATATTTAGATTGTATCCCCCCCCCTTTTTTTTTGGTATTAAAAATGAAGCTGTGATGAATATCCTTGAATACAAATCTTTGTATATCATTCTTCTGGTATCTGTAGAAAAACACTTAAAGGACAACAATTACTGTTCTTCTGAAATCTATTGGCAAACTATCTTCTAGAGAGGACCAGACACACTTCCATCATGTCATGCTGCAGTGCTCAACTACATGGATTTTTATGTTTTACATAAAAACATTTTATATTTTCTTGGTATCTTTCTGTTTTCTTAATTCTCAACAATAGATGTGTATTACTTTTATCATTATAACAGTTCCATTTTTTGCCCAACATTATACTGACCCATGTTTGAAAGTCAGCCTTCTCGGTTTATTCCTAGTTCTTTACCAGAACTGATTCTTGGGCTTGTTTACCTGCCCGTTGCTTTCCTGTTTTCTGTTGTGTTAACTTTTGCCTTTACCTTTACTAACTGATTTTTTCTGCTGTCCTCAGTTTTATTTCAGTGCTTTCTCCTCGACTTCTTACTAATTTGTTTATTTTAATTGTCGGGTGCACTGGGTCTTCGCTGCTGTTCTCAGGTTTTCTCTGGTTGTGGCCAGTGGAGGCTACTTCGTAGTTGCATCATACTGCCAGTGGCTTATCTTGTTGTAAAGCATGGGCTCCAGGCACAAGGGAGTCAGTAGTGACTTGATGGCTCTAGCATGGATTGAACTAGCACCCCCTGTTTTGCAAGGAGAATTCCAAACCACTGGGCCACCAGGGAAGCCCTCCCCTGACTTCTTGAGTTGAGTGCTTAACTGACTTATATTTAAAGCAATGAATTTCCTTCTGAATACAGCATTAGTCATAAACTGTAGGTTTTAATATTGTTTTCATAATAATTTAAGAAATAAATGTTGTAATGAAATTGAGGTTTCTGCTTCAGCCCAGCTGCAGTTTAAGTGTAGTGTTTAACATTCCCACGTGGTATGGCTTCACTGGTTTCTATTTTTGTTATTATTTTCGGCTTTTCTCTCACTGTGATCTGAAAATGTGGTCTGTACTATTTCAACTTCCTGGAACTTATCAAAAATTTCTTTCTGGCCAATTATAAGATCAGCTTTTGTAAATGTTACACAGGCACTTGAAAGAAGGTGTATTCTCTGCTTTCTGGATTTAGAGTTCAACAATAGAACTGCCAGATCAAAATTAAGCATTCAGTTTCTCTAATTTTACATATTTTCCTGTCTACTTATTTCCATGAGCTAAGAGCAATATTCTACTTATATTTCTGTTAATGTATTTCTGAAATAGCTGCTGCCCCGTCTACTGAAGGCCCCCGTCCCCTAGGACCTCCCCTTCTAAGTTCCAGTTCTACCCAGATTGGGCTTCCCAGGCAGCTCAGAGGGTAAAGAATCCTCCTGCAATTCAGGAGACGTGGATTTGATCCCTGGGTCGGGAAGATCCCCTAGAGGAAGACAAGGCAACCCACTCCAGTATCCTTGCCTGGAGAATCCCATGGACAGAGGAGCCTGGCGGGCTACAGTCCATGGGGTCGCAAATGGTCAGACACGACTGAGCGGACACGCACCAAGAGGTGTGCCTCCAGGACCCTCCGCTGCACTGAACGCTTCTGCCTTGATTTTAATTTATGTGGTAAATTCACAACCGTCTGCTTTCTTTTACTTTCAATCTGAGTTACCTTGCTTTAGGCGAAATTATATATGAAGTCAAAATATTTCACAACCAGCAAGGGCCAATCAGAAAGGATGCTATTTCAATAATCCTTATGGAGTTGAACCAGAGCAAATAGGCTGAATCCAATTTTAGAATCTTTTTCAAAATCAATAGGGGAATTTTTCTGAAGTCCAATTTGGAAATCTTTCTTTTTCACTTGGTAAACTTAGCTCATTTATCTTTATGATCAAAGCTGATATGTATGGTCTTAATTCTGTTATCTTACTTTGTTTTTTCAAGAAAATTAAAAATTCCCTTTATTTTCAATATTTTCTGGGTAATGTACATCTTCTCAGTTTGCTTTTGTTCTCCCTGGCTGGTAAATTGGAAGAAAACAAAGTTTCTTTTCTGTTCTTTTGATCAACGGCATACTTGAATGTGTTCTAGAGTAAATTTGTTTCTATAAGTACCACAAATGCAAATCTTCCAATTCAAAGTCAGAGCAAACAACAGGATGGATGGGTCATCTTATTGGCAAAGAAGAGGCAAAGGGAGGATTATAAATAAAAATCTTTAAAATGGGAATTTCCCAAATGATTAGTGAGATCTCCTACAGTTGATTTATATATGAGAGAAAGAGACATAGAGAGAGACAGAGAGACAGAGATGGAGGAGCAGGGAAGGAAAATAGATTTTAAAATATAGAGAGGGCTTATGTAGGCATCAGTTTTCAAATCTTATAAGGTATATCTGGAAAAAAGGAAATGGGTAGGTAAATGAGTGAGAGAAATGTTGTATTTAAGAAAATCACTGACTTGCCTGGTGGTCCAGTGGTTAAGAATCTGCCTTCCAGTGCAGGGGACATGGGTTTAACTCCCTGGTTGGGGAGCTAAGATCCCACACGCCGTGGGGCAACTAAGCCAGTGTGCCTCAGCTGCTGAACTCGCAGGCATCAGCTGGACAACCTGCATGTTCTGAGCCTGCATACCACAATGAAAACTCCCGCATGCCTCAACTAAGGACTGACACAGCCAAAAATAAATAAATAACAAAAAAAGAAAATCGTACTGCGCACATTTGTGTTTCATATTAGCCATGTTTTACAATTTTCTTAAAAAATGTAAACAGGATAGGCTTTGATAGTTCATTTCTGATACAAAAGTTTCAGTTGGGTTGATTCAGTTGTTTCTTTACTTATTTACTGCAAAAAAAAAAAAAAAAAAAACCAAACCCTCAAATTGTCAGAGAGCAAAGAGAATTATCAAGAAGTAAAATTGCTTAAATATATTAAAAAAACAAGCACATATCCATTGTAGCAATGGACATGCAAAGTATAATTGGCATAACTGAGTTTCTTTCTATAGATCAGAATTGAAAAGTAGAAACAATGAGAAAAAACAGAATGCTCAAATATTTCTCCTTTAAAGTCCTTTATGGCTTAGCATGGCTAGATTAGAGAATTAGAAAATAAAACATATCCTTACCTAGGAGTGCCACCAGGGTTAGCAGAATCACAATGTGTTTCATTCCTTTTCTTTTATGGAAATACAGGAGAATGCAGAAAATTAATATTTCTAAAATCTAGAAAGGGAAATAGGAAGAGTAAAGTCTTCAGAATGCCACACTTCTCTTTTTGGTTTTGCAACGATTATCATATGAGGGTTGAGGGTGACTAGAGTTCCCAAGGACAATTCTAAATCTATGAGAACAACATAAGGAGCCTCAGCCACCCAGACTGAGTTCTACCACCACCTCCAGGGCAATGACACCTGGCTCTAGATCTCCGGTTCTCCCTGAAAGCCCAGTCTCATCACCCAGCTGTCGACCAGACGTTCCCACGTGCACGCTCAACAGCCATATCATATGAATATGGGCAACACTTAACTCTTTATGAGGGGGAGGGGCTGTACCATGGGGCATGTAGGATCTTAGCTCCCTGACTAGGGCTGGAACCCGCACACCGTGCAGTAGAAGTGTGGCGTCTTAACCACTGGACTGCCAGAGAAGTCCCAACACTTAACTCTTTTTTTTTCCCCCTCTCCATCAACAAGGTTGAATTGTTATAGCTCATTCCAGTGATAACAAAAATAAAGAATCAATGGTACCACATTTAGAAGACTATTTTTTTTGTGTGGTTCTAGAAACAAGTTTTTTTTTTTTTTTAATATATTTATTTATTTGCCTATGTGGGGTCTTAGTTGCAACATGCTGGATCTTTCATTGCAGCAAGTGGAGTCCAGATCCCTGACCAGGGATTGAACTCAGCCCCCTGCACTACGCGCAGAGTCTCAGCCACTGGACCACCAGGGAAGCCCCTGGAAACACAGCTTGACTCTTGTTATAAAAATAATACACCACTATCTATAATACTTTACTTATGCCCAAGGGGTAGCTGATAGTATGGAAACCAGGACTCAATACACATTTTCTTCTGTGGTTTGGCCGACACTTAATTCATGATTGCCTAGCTTCTCTGCCTGTTCCTCCTGGGCCCGCATCCCCTCAGGAGGTGTCCTGTTGCACAAGCTGAAAAGTCCTCTTTCCCTCCCTCCCCCATCCTCTGACTACTGAAACAGCTTCTACTTTGTCTCTGACTTGACTCCTGTCTCATAATCATCCAGCCATTGAGCAACAAGAGGAGTCATTTAAAAATGCAATTTGGATAATGAACTATTTCATTCATAGAGACTCATTACTTGTATGATATACATATTAGGTATTTACAGTATTATGACAAATATCACTGTGCCCTCTTCCCAATCTGAGAACTCGAACCCATCAATCTCTATGAAGTCTTCCCTTCCCAGTTGCTCTCCCCTCCTTCTGTGACCTCCCCAGGAACCACTACATTGAATTTTGTGTTTACCATTCATTTTTTAAAATTATGTTTCTATGTATTCCCAAATGATACCATTTATTTTTGCACATTTGTTCTTTATACAAGTGGAGTCATATACTTGCCTTCACTCATTTGCTTTTTTTCCACTGTGTATTATAAGACTCATCCAGGATGATACATGTAGTAAAAATATAAATTAGACCTAGTCATTCCTTTGCTTAAGACTCCTGGGGCCTCAGCATCGTGTATGGCTGGCTCATGGATGGTCCACCTGCAGTAGCTACAACGGCTTCCCCACCACCCCACTTTGGTTCTTTATGGTTCTCAGGCTGCTCCTGCCTTTGGGCCTTTGCACTGACAGTTTGCCCAGCCTGGAATGCGCTTTCCCTGAGCTTTTGTTTGCACAATGACTCCTAGTCACTCAGCCCCTTGGAGAGGTCTTCCTAGATCCCTCTGTTCTAACAGAGTCACCTAGTCATTCTATCACAACCTCTACTTCAGGTGGCAACTGTAGAGTGTCTTAACCATGACCTGTCCACGTGTTTATGTATTTCTTGTCTGTCTCCACCAGCACATCAGCTCTGTAAGAACAGGAACCTTTTCTTCCTCCAGTGCCTGGCACTCAGGTGGTCACTCAGTAAGTATTTTTGGAATTAATGAGTTAATTACATGTCAAATTTATTATCAACAGTTTGCCAAAAAACAGACCTAATGTCTAATAAACTGAGTATTCAATAAGTATTAACTGACTGAATGTCTAAAATTTTCCTTCTTTTAAGAAAACTAGTGTAATTTTGAACCCTCAATTTTATTTTTTAGTATTTTTTTTCTTTTTTGAGGTCCTTAAGATAACCCAAAAGTTGTCTGAGAAGACCTTACAAACACCTGAGAAAAGAAGAGAAGTGAAAGGCAAAGGAGAAATGGAGAGATATACCCAACTGAATGCAGAGTTCCAGAGAGTAGCAAGGAGAGATAAGAAAGCCTTCTTAAGTGAACAATGCAAAGAAATAGAGGAAAACAATAGAATGGGAAGGACTAGAGATCTCTTCAAGAAAACAGAGATACCAAGGGAACATTTCATGCAAAGATGGGCACAATAAAAGACAGAAATGGCAAAGACCTAACAGAAGCAAAAGAGATTAAGAAGAGGGGGCAAAAGTACACAGAACTACACAAAAAAGATCTTAATGACCCTGATAGTCATGATGACCTAGAGCCAGACATTCTGGAGCGTGAAATCAAGTGGACCTTAGGAAGCATTATTATGAACAAAGCTAGTGGAGGTGATGGAATTCCAGCTGAACTATTCCTAAATAGTAAATAACTATTCCTAATAGCTGAACTATTCCTAAAAGATGATGCTGTTAAACTGCTGCACTCAAAATGTCAGGAAATTTGGAAAACTCAGCAGCGACCACAGGACTGGAAAAGGTCAGTTTTCATTCTAATCCCAAAGAAGGCCAATGCCAAAGAATGTTCAAACTACCATACAAATGCACTCATTTCACATGATAGCAAGGTAATGATCAAAATCATTCAAGCTAAGTTTCAGCAGTAAGTGAATCAGGAACTTCCAGATGTACAAGTTGGATTGAGAAAAGGCAGAGGAACCTGAAATTAAGCTGCCATCATCTATAGGGTCATAAAGAAAGCAAGGGAATTCCAGAAAAACATCTACCTTCACTGACTATGCTAAAGCCTTTGACTGTGTGGATCACAACAAACTGAAAAATTCTTAAAGAGACAGGGCTACCAGACCACCTTACCTGTCTTCTAAGAAACCTGTATGTACATCAGGAAGTAACAGTTAGAACCAGACAAGGAAAAATGGACTGGTTCAAAATTGGGAATGAAGTTCGTCAAGGCTGTATATTGTCACCCTGCTTATTTAACTTATATGCAGAGTACATCATGCAAAATGCAAGACTGAGTAAATCACAAGCTGTAATGAAGACTGCCAGGAGAAATATCAACAACCTCAGATATGCAGATGACACCACTCTAATGGGAGAAAGTGAAGGGAACTAAATAGCCTCTTGAGGAAGGTGAAAGAAGAGAGTGAAAAAACTGGCTTAAAACTCAACATTCAAAAAGCTAAGATCATGGCATCCTGTCCCATCACTTCATGGCAAATAGATGGGGAAAAAGTGGAAACAGTGATAGATTTTTATTTTCTTGGGCTCCAAAATCACTATGAATGGTGACTGCTCCTAGGAAGGAAAGCTATGACAAGACTAGATAGCATATTAAAAAGAAGAGACATCACTTTGCCGACAAAGCTGCTTATAGTCAAAGCTATGGTTTTTCCAGTAGTCATGTACAAGTATGAGAGTTGGATCATAAAGAAGGCTGAGCACCGAAGAATTTATCCTTTTGAACTGTGGTGTTGGAGAAGACTCTTGGGAGTCCCTTGGACAACAAGGAGATCAAACCAGTCCATCCTAAAGGAAATCAATCTTGAATATTCATTGGAAGGATTGATGTTGAAGCTCCAATAGTTTGGCCACCTGAAGTGAAGAGCTGACTCACTGGAAAAAGACCCTGATGCTGGGAAAGATTGAGAGCAGGAGGAGAAGGGGGAGACAGATGATGAGATGGTTGGATGGCATCATTGACACAATTTGAGCAAACTCAGGGAGATAGTGAGAGACAGGGAAACCTGGTATGCTGCAGTCCATGAGGTCACAGAGAGTCAGATATGACTTAGTGACTGGTCAACAACAAGATAGCTGAAGCAAAGCTCTTTTCTTTGTCCCAAAGAGACAGTATCTCTGGACTGAAATTATAAATTTGAATGTTTACCTTGGATAAGTAAAAATATCAGCACTAGTTTTGTTTTTTTTCCCTTAAAAATGACAAGAGTTGGGGATTTCACTACTTCCAGGATTGCATTTTACTCATGGAGCCTCTTCTAAATAAACACAAGTGTCTCCTGTTCCAACTCAAGGTTTCACCCATTGCTTTGTTTCTCCCTTTAATCCTCTGTGGGTATGGAAAGCAGCAGAACCATATCTTCCTCATTTAAAACCTTTTCATCTAATACGGAAGATTAACTCATCCTTTAGTCTTGTCTTTTCCTGGCAAATGAAACCAATTATTTTAACTTTTTCTTATAGGACTTATTTGCCAGGCCTTTAATTTAATCAGGTTGTGCTACAAAATCTATTCAATTCCTATCTCTTCACCTTCCCGAAAGCTGCCATCAAAACGGAAACATCCCTCTCAGTTTGGTCTCCCCTCAACCAGAGGAGTCCATTTCTCATGTGATGTGATAACAAACAGTTTCCAGCAACCTTTGGAATCACGGTATTTGTGGCTGGAGGAAGGAAGCCATTCCTGCACCAAGGCACAGAACATGTTAGCTCAACCTGTTAGCACATCAATTATTTTTTTTTTTGCAGGGGATGGTGGTAGCTGTCAGTTTAAAAAATCATATGTGACTTTTTTTTGCAAACTTCATTTCTATGATTTCAGATCAACAAAATATGAGTTTCTGTTATTCACAGAATGACTGTTATTTGCCATGGGTTCTGTCCTGTGGCAAGAGATCACAGAGCTCCCAGGAGTAAGATATCCAAGCCATGTGAGTTAATGTTAATTTTTTCCCTAGTAACATTTTCCCTCCTCTCTGAGCAAATATTCAGTATTAAAGAAGCTGTGACTTCTGCAGGTTGCTGCAACCCAGAAGCAGCAGCTTTGCTGACTGCTATCTCAGAGGCCAGAAGTAGTAACAGCACAGGGT